TTCTTAACCTAATTAAAACCTGTTATTGCTTTTTAGTCCTTCAGGGAGAAGAAATTGGATTCCATTTAGGCTCATTTATCAAACAGAATTGATTCCTATATTCCAGTGAAGCACCACATTTGACTCTTACTTACAGCAGTGAAAACCCCACTAGAATCAGTGCAGTTGAAAAGATGTGCCTGGGGGTCCTATTTATCCTCTTGAATCAGTGTTACTGGAAAAAATGAGCAAGAAGAACATAGTTTGACAGGATTTTTTAAAAATCAACTCCCTTTTCAGGCATCTTTTTAACATTAAATACAAATACTAGAAGTGCACTGATATATCGGTGGCATATCGGATTGGCACTGATAAAAGGAAAATTAACATTATTGGCAATTGGCTTTTTTTGGCTAGTATAGCCAACAATGTCACCAATAAATGCTGCGTGCATGTGCAGCATGCATGTGTGTCAGGAATGCAACCTGGCGGCTTGGGGAGTAGCCTCCTACCGGTACGTCTGTGGTGGGGAAGGGACATTGGAGGCACAGATCAAGGCCCCCACAGTGATGGAGGGAGTGGAGTGGGGGCAGAGGCTGCCCAGCCAGGTCAGTGAATGCTAAAAGTAAATCTCAGGATGTCATCCTTCCACTGTACTTGGCCTTGGTGAGGCCGCAGCTGGAGTACTGTATTCAGTTCTGGGCTCCACAATTCAAGAAGGATGTCGAGAAGCTTGAGAGAGTCCAGAGGAGAGCCACGTGCATGATCAGAGGGCAAGAGAATAGGCCTTATGATGAGTGGCTGAGAGCCATGGGACTCTTCAGCCTGGAAAAGCGCAGGCTCAGGGGTGACCTGGTGGCTGCCTATAAGGGGTGTGGCATCAGGATCTGGGGGAACATCTGTTCACCAAAGCACTGCAAGGGAAAACAAGGACCAATGGTCATAAACTCCTCCGTGACCGTTTTAGGCTGGACGTAAGGAAAAACTTCTTTACTGTCCAAGCCCCCAAGGCCTGAAACAGACTCCCTCCAGAAGTGGTGTAGGCACCTATTCTGGACTCTTTCAAGAAAAGTTTGGATGCTTATCTTGCTGGGATCCTTTGACCCTAGCTGGCTTCCTGCCCCTGGGGCAGGGAGCTGGACTTGATGATTTTCAAGGTCCCTTCCAGTCCTAATGTTTATGCAATCTATGAAATGCGACCCCAGGAGTGGGGCAGAGCCATGGACAGCTAATTTGGGCAGTGTGGGGAGTGGGGAGGAGGAGTGGCTCCCTGCTACTGCACGCACCCCCAGGGGAGGCATGGGGGGCATGTGCCTGCCCTGGATAGGTTGGATTTGTGCGCAGGGCAGAGGCGGCCTGCCTGCTGCAGGCTCAGGGCCATAAGCTCCGTCCCACTTCCAGGTTTGCATTTACTACTGTGGCTGGGCACTGCCTGCCCCTGCCCTACTCCTTCCCTCACCATAAGCCCCAATGTGCACCCCCTCACACCTGTTTCCTCCCCCACACCTCTTCGCCTCCACAGACATATCAGCAGGAGGCTGCTCTCCAAGCTGCCAGGCTGCATTTTTGTAAATTGGCTATTGGATCGGTTGGTTGGATCAGTTACTGGATATGGCTGGTTAATAATTGCCATCATATTGGCCAAGAAAATGCTTATCCATGCACCCCGAACAGATACCTCATTTTACTTTAACGCATATTTGCTGTTTGAGTAATGAACAACCCTTCACTACCTCTATTGTCATGAATACTGTGCTCAAAGGGGACAGAGTTAAAGGTATCTCTGAACTTGGCATTTCTGATAAAACTTGTCAACCTAATACTGCATTCATATTATATTAAAAATCTGTTAGTCCAGGTTTTTAAAAAACATCCTTTTTAAATGATTACTTAACAGATTTGTGAGTTAAAATGTAGGAGGGAAGTGACACAAAATATTATGTGGGCAATTCCTCAAGACTTGTAATGGTATCAGTTAATAGTCTTTCATAGGTGACAGCCTACTTTGTCAGATCCTATGAGTGGACATCAAACAAGGCAGGCTACTGTTTACAAAAGCTCATGTCTCTCTGAACCTGTTGTCTCTGAGGTGACACCTTGCTTTACCATGTTACCTATAGAGAAAGGCTCTGAAGTTCTTTCTTCTGCCAGGTGCAGTGTCTTAAGGAGACAGGAAGTGCTGGGGACCTCAATCTCTCCTATACCCTTTATAATAGAACCAACCTTTGGGAAAACAGAAAGTTGTTCAGGGAGGGGCTGACTGAGAAAGTTCTTTTGTGGATATGACATCCTTCTGTTTTAAACCATCTTAAGTCTCCACCCTTCTGGGAATGGTCTTTAAAAGGGAGTTTTTAGTCTCCCAGGAAGACATCAGGTCAAAAAGTGAGCCTAGAAATGTTTGCTGAACATCAGGTCAGCAAGACAACAAACACTGTTTTAATTGTGGGCCATTTCCCTGGTAGAAGTGCTCAATGGAAACAGAAGCCATCTATGGTCAAATGACTATGTAATAACCTATAACAGGGGTACTTAACCTCTGGCCTGTGTGCCAAATATGACCCCTGGAACAGAACCGTGGCATCTGGCCTATGGGACTCAAAATGTTTGGTGGCCAGGAGGTGGCCATTAATACAGCAGCCCACCCGCCCCATCAAATTCCCAAATGTGAAGACCTGCATGGCCCATTGGAGTTGGGCTACAAACTCCTTCCCCACTAGGAACCCACCATGGGGCTGGGTGGGGCAGCCACGCCCACCTACCAGGTCATTTTGGGGGCCCTCCCCCACCTACTCCTTTCCCATGGGGCTGGGTTGAGACTAGGCTATACTCCCTTTCCTCCACAGGGCCAAG